TTCCAATCGGTAGGCGGCGTTGTCATTTTAAAAGCAGATACTGCTGCATTTATAATTCCCAATGAAAACTAACTGGAGAAGAAGTGTCTTGAATATGCACCACCCCGCTATGCTAGTATATGGTTGTGGCATAACTTTTTTTACTCTGTCATATCACAAAGTAACTCTGAGTGAGTCACTGAGTAATTATCAACCCATTCATTTATAGAAGGTAATAATATGCGGCAGCTACTTATAGAATCGATAAAATATTATAATGCTAATCACTGTGATGATACGTAAAAACATGGCACTGGAGTTACCGTCAAAACACTTTGTACCATTCGTATGCTTCGGGATTTGTTAAATCAACAGTTCCACAATCGAATTCTCCAAAATCAACCAGCAATGTCTTCCCTAAATAGAATACAAAAATTGTGATTTTTTGGAGCTAAATACTTTCTAACATATTCAAGGTAATACCATATAACCTGTAGTTGAATTCTTTATAAAATATCCTCTTTCATCTGCATGTTTATACATTTTACTTCCGTCTATTATGTGCGGATTGATGTACGAGAGAAACGAACACCTTCTTTAAGATATTCCTTCAAAATATACAATTCTGATATATACCATGCGTTGTAATATATGGTATTGTTGAGTCTTATTATGTTAAAAATTCGACAATTTTCCGTATAATCATACAATTACAATTGATAGTTTCACACTACCTGGAATCGCTCCTTTGCGACATCTAAAGGCCAATAAAATTCTTCATTGAGTTCCCAATTCCAGTAAACCCGTTTTCCCAATGAGGTATGAAATTTTCCTGGCCAATCTTGTATCCATATTCCGCTGATCTTAACACCTTGTTCTTTAAGAAGTTCGTATTTACGTATAGCCTTGACAAGAAATTACAATTATACAATATTACGAGGCATTTATATTATTTAGCAGTTAATATTACCTCATTTTACCACCTTGGATGCCCAGAATCGCACCGTCGTAAAGCCACTTTGGTGGTTTTGGTTGTCTTCCAAAGAATCCTGTGAGCTTTGTTAAAAGTTCGGGCCAAGATTTTGCTACATCGACATAAATATCGACACTGCTAACATCCTCCCACAGTTCTAATTCGTGATACGCTTTTGATCTTGAAATAGCGTCAAAGAGTCAAAATATCATAATAAAATATATAAAGGTTTTGACAAAGGAGTTTGTGTACTGTTATAATATATACTCTCCTTACGTGAAATTTAGAACGTTGTAATATGAATGGTTGACATGAACGTATAGTAATCTGCTTGATACGTATGTTGCTTGGGTCCAATATGTCGTATGATAATCCCTCCAGCATTCCCGATTATTTCTGAAAGCAAGGATGCAACTCTCAAATATATGAACACGGAGGCCAAAACTTATACAAAGTATTCTCATGTATCATATAAAAGTGTTCCCATGAAATAAAATGGCAAAATTTGGGGTGGAATATCGGGTCACGTAGGACGCAAGAAAAATGCAATAAAAAGAGTATAAGAGTCTTTTGCCATTTTCAAGTACTCGAAATTTGAAATCGATTGGTCCGGTAGTTGTGAGGGAAGGCCACTTTTTTACAAAAAACAAAAATGACACCAGTTTAGCGAAACATTCCCTTCGTGACCAATAAAAACTGTGATGAATGTTGCATCATACTGCAGCCCTTTGGGAAGGAGGTAAAGAAGGGCGAATGAGAGAAAGCAAGATAAAAAAAATTCTGAAAACTTACCTGCTAAGTGAGTTGTGAGTTTTTTATAGTCTCGCGAAACGCCCTGTTCTCTCACCCAAATAGGAAAAGCATGCCCTCTCATTTGAAAATAGGTAAATTGCTCTCCACCTGATATGAACAGAAAGATTTTCAATTGGTACATTTCTCTAAAGGAAGTTCAATCAAAACAAGCAAATCGATTGTGACAGATGGTCCCAAATGAAAATCAAATGAAAATGTAAAATAATCCTTTCAGTACTTTCTCCATAAAAAACTGACATTGGGTAGAACCAAGCTTGTTCGGCATAGTGCGTCGTTCTACATTCCATGCAGCTAATGTGAAAACTCAAGATTTCCTTGTTTTATAACCAGCATTTGTCATTAACTTGCCACCAACTCCGATTTATTTAAAACCTGACCGAATCCAGGTTCAAATAAATTTTCATTTCGACTCGTAACATAATTTTCGTGACTAAGACATCATTGTTGACAAGCTTTATTCTGTTTTAGTTGGAGATGTCGACAGTAACTTTTAAAAGTTTAATTCCGTGGCCCAGCCATATCGCGACTGCGAAAAGTTTGAATGAGACTCCGGCTCCGACACCAGCAAAAACTCGACTCTACAAAACCGGTTGAAAAATAATAGTATTAAATTATTAATACTAGGTTTAATTTACCTCCATAAACTTTTTCACTTTCTGTCGCATACATTTTGATCCAAAGACGAGTAATTTTTCCAGACGACGTTTTATCAAACAAGTCAATGTGGATTTTGATGTTGCCAGATATTTCACAACTAAATTTCATTTCAACCTTCAAGTGAAAATCAAGTTAGGAATGAGTTTGAATATATGAAATCAATCATAGGAATGGCTTCATTCGTAGAAGGCTATCAGGCCACCACAAAAACAGCGAGTTTGATTTTAAGGCTACACAAGTATACAATGTTTGCTGAACAATAAATTGTCTGACAAAAATATATTTGATAGGTGATGTATAGAATGTTGCGTTACTTAGGACATTTCTAGGAAATTTCGCCGTCGGAAATCTAGCGCAGGAAATTTCGCTGCATAGGAAAAATCGCCGCATGAAAATCGCCGCAAGAGCATTTTGCTGTGAAACAAATTTTTTATTAAAAAAAGATCCGTTATTTAAGAGCATACCCTAACCTTAACCATATAACAGTAATTTTTCATGCTATCACAAATACTTTTTCATTGATTTTTCATGCGGCGAATTTTCCTATGCGGCGAAATTTCCTGCGGCAAAATTTTCTGCGGCGAGATTTCCTACGGCGAAATTTCTGGACACGACTTAGGACATTTATTGATGGTATGGTATTTTCGCTTGTTCGAAATATAAAATACAGAAAGAGCATATTTTACGTCGTCTAAGAATCTAATCATTTATCAATTAGGATAGCTTCAAATGATAATAATTCATATTTTGCTACATAAGAAGAAAATACTAGAAACAATCCTATTCCTCTATGTCCAGGCTCAACTGCAAAGAGGTTTTCATATTTGTATAAAGTCTTAGTAAGATTATCGTGTTTATATTCTAATAAGAGTAAGATGTATACCTGTGAACTCGTTTTGTTTTTACTGCTGAAGAACAAAATGGCTAAATTGTTGCCCGTTCCGCTAACTGGGCCAGCTCCCGATGCGACAACGGTTTCATCAGGCAGCAAAAGTTTGAAACCTTCGAGCGGTATTCTTGATGTGACATCATCATTTACATAAAAATTTCCCAGAATACCTTTGTAGGATGACGTTGCTTTTCCTACTTCTATTATCGGATTATTTTGAGAATGTTTAATAACTGATTTTCCAGCAATAAATATTTCTGTAATAAAATAGAATTTCGTACAGTCAATTCGCTTCCGAATGGAAGACCAAGACTACCTCCTATAGTATACTCTGATTAGAATACAAGCCGGACGCGGAAATTCATAAGATACGACAAGATCAAGTAATTTTCAATAAAGAGTTGAAGACAACATCATGGATATGGTGAGGGGTCGTAATTGTGAATTTGTACAATAGGATTGCACGGTTTCAGAGGATGTTCTTTGGTGTGGGCATATCGACCAAACGAAATACAGTCAGCAAAGATCTCGAAATTCGCTCATTCTATTTAGAAAACATTTCATGATTGTTAACATCGTTAGGTAGTTGTCAGTAAAAAAACTCACCAACGGACGTATTGGTCTTCTCAAATACAATTTGTTGGCATCCTTTTCCAGTTATTTCGCAAACGCATTGAAACAGCAATATAGTCACCCAGACGATCCTCATTTCAGAAAGGTGAAAGTGACAACAAAATCTGGCGTTAACTACAGATTGATCCCACTCCCGCGTCAATTCGCTTCGTCAGAAGGGGTTTGGACTATATTTGAAGCTTGGAAAAAGTTCAATGGGGTTAGCCAAAATGTAATACCGTATAGCTGTGATTGTGTTTACCAATTTTAGATTAATAATACTTAATAATAACTCTTCTCTTGTGAACGCTTATTTTAGACGTGATTACAAGAGTGACAATCATGCTTTCCTGTAGCCTATATAAGTTGCATACGCAAGCATGAAACAGAGTAGAATAGAGCTTCCATCTGAGATGTCAAAATTTATAATATTCAGGCAACAAATTTTGAATTACAAAAGCTACGCTAAAGTCATCATCTCTAGGTAAATGCGCCAATCTTTACTTGTGAATGGGACCACGTTATTCACACCTAATAAATGACTATCAGATATCGGATGACAACAGTAAACAGTAAGAGACCTGACCTCACGCAATGAGAGATTGTACCGGTAATGCAGAAAGTTGCAAATCAAAATTGCAAATTTGCAACAATTAGCTTTTGCAGAAAGCGATGTATTTCTCACTTTTTGAGCATACCCGCCTCGTCGATTGCTGTACTGTACATTTTTATACTAATTTTTACCAGAATGTAATATATTTCAACAATTTCCTTCTTTAAATTACTTTGAAAATATTATAAACTTATGATTTTTTGGTACAGTTAAGACAATATTGAACTGCTAAATCAAATATTACCGGTATTCCTTACATAGCAAAACTTACTATTCCTTTTGTTTGAATTTGTTAGCAAACAGATATCGTGTCGTTAAATCTACTGATGCTGTTAAACAATGTTGCTTCATGATACAGTGCGAAGGAAGGAAGAGACGCTGGCAACTAACAAGAGCATAACATTCATTGCAATAACGGTTTTTAATACTATTAACAAGCTCATTCGGGCTTATAGAGTACTCGGTTCTAAAATTTGGATTTTGTATATAGTCATCATTGTAATAGATTTTTATGTAAGAAATTAACCCAATTCGTGTGAAAGTAGTAAAAAAAACAAAATTAATTAATCCCAAAGTTGCAGTTACGAATTTCGTGAAATTCAATTTCGAAATTGAATATATTTTTGTACCAGCCAATTTAAGAATGAAATTTCATTTCTAGTTATGTTTCATTAATTTGAGATCAAAATTTCCCTTCAAAGTCTTATTATCTATCCACTTTAAGATAAATTCAATTTTCCACGATTACAATTTAAGCGTGATCAGAAATATCTTTTCCACCGTTACAACTAGAATCAATCATAACCTATAAATAATAAGTTTTTGCGAAAATAATTTAATAATAGTTATTTATCGCAATACCGAAATGGCAGGACAGTGATTATGAAGTGGAAATTAGGTAATCACTGTTTATTCCTTATATTCATATGATTTGTAAAAACGTATATATTGTGCTATCTTCTCAATGTTAATCAGAATAGAATAGATCTAATAGAGCAGTGGTTCCCAAACTTTTTGTACCATCGCCCCCCTAAAGTAGTTTATACAACTTCATCGCCCCCCGGCACTGCAAAAAAAAAGTTTGAAACGAATATATTACAGACCAAATAAGAAGACAAATCATAGTTCATAGTGTTTTTTAATGAGATGGATGAGCTTGGTGTTCTTCAGCGAGTTTTTCATTATATCTAAAATTACCCCGTTTACTGAGGGAAAGGCGATTTAGTTGTTTTGATAGCAATAGCAGCACGGCTGAAAACCCTTCTTTCACCATATCAGAGGTCGGAAATGAAAGAATTCAGGGTTCTACTCCTCAAAAACTGTCGTGTACTCTTGCATTCAATTCCCTAAATTCACCGCATTTCACATTGAAATGATGAAAACAAAATTAATTTTCAAAACTTATAATGATGATTTTCGTACATCTCATTCATCCCTACAGCCTGATGATGAGCTTTACCAAAATACATGATATACAACGGTCTCCGGTAAAATTCATCCCCTATTCCACGTCCTCCAGTCCGATTACCAGTCCATAGATTTAATCAGCCATTTGTTTTGGATTCGTGGACTCGGATGGCCCAAGGGGCGGCAAATTTTACGTCGCTCGCGGGACAAAATTTAGGGTTGCTATTCTTTCGCGGATCGCATATATTTTTTGAAAGTTAAAAACGGAACATCGTGCAAAAACTGCGACAATTCGTGAATTCAACTGAGTCGTCTTATTAAAAAATTATTACAATGACATTCAATGTGACACTGTCTTGTTGCTGCATCACGCTTGATAGGACGCCAAGATTGGAAGATTTTCTAAATGGGCATCACTAATCTTAGTTTTTGCTTGTTCTTTGTAATGTTCATTTTGAAAATAATTGTTCGCACAAATATGTACTTCCAAACATCGAAGTGAATATTTTCGCATGGTTTGTGAAATTTTGATAAAGATTTTCTTTAAGAAGATACATTCTTACAAAAATTGAGCAGTGATGAATCTCTGGAATAGAATATGAATTTTTTTCCTTATTGCATTGCAATATATTCGAATATTTACTGCGCTATTGAACTCCTGCATAAACTTTTCTGCGTGTTTCCATTTGTCTAATTATAATTAAATTGTAGGCTCATTAAACGAGTAGCTGTTATATATAATTTTTAGGATATAATAAAATTTAGTCTAAACGTGTCTCACGATAAATTCTGTTACGTAAAAAAATGTAATTTACTCCTCGAGCGTAGATGATAAATAAAATCAATTCATCATTAAAACCGCCGTTTGAACGTTTCTCCTGGCATAGACTTCCTTGTTTACTTCTTGACATAGGCCAATCAGCAAGATGCAAAAATAAACGTAACAATGCCCCCTTTTGCATCCACTCAGACACATTCCTCACTCAGACAGACTTTCAGGCGTGGTCGTAAACATTACCTCACCTCATTTTCGCGACTTTGAATTATATTCGTTAGTTTTTAGTTGTTTTTCGGAAATTTAAATATAAGGTCAATAATCACTTTGTCCCCCTAGGAGTTTCAGTTCAATTACAGTGATCAAAAATTAGTGTAGAAATAGCTGTGATAGACTAGGCTAAATATTTACCGGTACTCCCTAAAAAACAGATTGTTGAATAGTAATGAATTAGAAAGATAGTTTGAAACAAATACCTTTATTTTATAGGCCACGGGAAACCACTCTTAAAAAATAAGCACCGAAAATTTTAGAATGATAAAATATAGGAAGAATTTTCCGGGGGTTCAAAGGGTCGGGGAAAGGTCCATTAAGTGAAGCGTCCCGGGCCAGATTACTACAGATTTTCCGAACTCTGGGAATACCGCAAACTACCTACCTCATCACTGCGAAGACGAGTCCAGCAATCATTTCGCGTGCAATCACATCGCCCACGTGATTCAAACCTACGAAAGCACGCAGAGTACAGTAATCAAGTGCACGAGGCGCCGAGCAAAAACAGGTTTTCGCGAAATCGCCCCCCTATCGCCCACTTCGACTTTTTCGCCCCCTCTGTATCGTTTTCCCACCGGGGGCGATATCGCCACTTTGGGAATACACTGTAATAGAGTATACGTTGTATTCTGTATATATATATATATATATTGTTGGAGACTGCAATAAAGCTATAAGTATAAGGTCTCTCAATCGTCTATTTTGTACTGCCGGTGGCTATCTTTAGGTTGAAATATTGGGTTCGAGAATTTGGGCAAAACTCTTGTCAGTCAAATCTCAGTTCATACCTACTTCATGAGTCAAATTAACCAATCAATAACTTATGTGTAGACTGATATAATTTCTGAATGTGTAACTTCAGTAATTTATACCTTATACTATAATTCATAATATGGTCAATGCCAGGAGTATTTTGAAGAACAGTCTAATCATTTGATACAATTACATCTCTCACTTTTCCAATGACTAGATTTCGAATAGTATAATGAGATAGCATGCACCCATATGTGCACAAATTTAATCATGTATATTTGTAGTACACTATGGTCTACTTGCCGGTGCTGTTAAACAAATTGTCAATAACGTTTTTGCAAATTTTATAATCAAAATTTATCAAGTAAGAACCATATCAAAAAGTAAACAAATGCACTGAACAATTTACAATCTCTTAATTCAACACACACGACATGTATTAATACTTAACGTTAAATATATCGCAATCGATTTGATTTATGATCATAAAATACTAACGGCCGAATCACCAGTACCTCACACTGGAGGCGGTAGATGAGCCTTGAGGTTTGTTGAATATCATAATCTTCTTTCGCCACACCGACAAAAATTCCAAGAAAAATAGACATGCACATGATGTATAAAATGAAGAGCGCAATGCTCAAATATTTGGACACGAAAGCCAAAACCAAGTAGCCTCAAATCTTCTACTGCACCTGTAGTCTGGCCACGAGATCGCTGAAATGTGACAACGGAACCACGGCACGGTGCGCATTTTTGATTTTGATAACGTAATCACACAAAATTTCAAGTAAAAATTCCATGGAATATTTTGAATAAACAAAAATAATAGCCCTCTATCGATAGAAACAATCTTTAACCACTGAAAATTTCAAAGCAATTGGTCCTATAGTTTGAAAAAGAGCGATTTTGGTTGATTCACACAAATCGATCAATGAAAATAGTACCACTATCTAAATACCAACTACGAACGCCGAAGAATTCCCTGATCTGTTCCCATATATATTTTTGAGTCATATTCGAACTTTGTCTCTTAAACTTCCATAAATTCATTCCCTGTTTTGAGATTGCCGTGTCACCTTCGTAGAATTCCTCTTTCGTCAAGTGATCAGAACATAAGACGCTTACTCACTATGACGTAAAGTCCTGCAAACGTTCCACTTGCGAGAAACACGGGTATGTCTGATATTCAGTCAATCATGATTATTTATGAGTAACTGTTATGGATGACAATAATGTGAAAGTCGAGATATCATAATTAAATAAGGGGGACGCAAATGTAACGCATAAGCAATTATTACCATAAACTACCTTCCAGCTTTCGAGAGATTTTATGTCGAATAGGTATGTTACCTATATGTG